TTCCCTATGTTTCCAGTCCCTATCTGTACCAGTGTACATCCTGTGGTCTAGCCAGATTTGGAAGGTAGAATTGGGATCATGATAGTGGGGGGAGGAAGCATTTAAGAACTAGAGGAAAGCTGTATGTTTCATCGTTGCTACCCGGCACCCTGACTGGCTCATCTCCTCCCCGTAACCCTTCAGTAAGGGGGTGTGCAGTTGCCTACAGATGGGCTTTGGGTCTCCACTCTGCACTCACCCTCATTTACAATGATATGATTTTTTTCTTTTATGCCTGATACCTGACTCCTTTGACACCTTGTGGTCACACAGGCTGGTGTGCTTCTTCCATGTGGGCTTTGTTGCTTCTGAGCTAGATGGCTGCTTGTTTATCTTCAGGCCTTTAAGATCCCAGATGCTATATCTTTTGATAGCCGGGCACCATCAGCTTTCTTCACCACATTTGCTTATACACACATTTGTCTTCAGTGATCACATTGGGAAGGTGAGCACCCACTGATATGATTTTTTTTGTTTGCTCAGAAGCATTAATTGAATTTTTACGTGAACATTTTGAAACTGTTCCTTCTGTATGGGTTTACTCTAAACAAAATATGTTTAAGCATATCTCTGAAATCTGTGAATAACTATACATACGTCTCTCTTGTTACCTTGCCCTTGATAATGTGCATTCAAGTAAAAAGGAGGCAGGACTGATATAATTTTTTTACTTAAAAGTTTACTGGACATCTTACCAAATAACTAAAGCTTTAAAACAAGTTATGGGAATGCTGCCTTACGTAAAACAAAACAAAAACTAAAATTTAGATTGATTTCAAGAATTTTAAGGAAGGTCAGAAAATCCTCAAAGATTAATTTAAGGCAAAGAATGAAACTCAGATTGTGATGGTGAGCATTTCTCAGAGATTCCAAAGGGGTCACCTTGAAAGATTTTTTTGAAGGACAAAGGAATATAATGAATAAGTTATAATAAAATGGAAAACTGCATTGGTAATAAAAAAATGATTGGGAAAGTTCATTGAAGAAATGTTCACACTCACAATGCACTTGTACATTCTCTGAGAGCAGCAGAGGCTGTGAGAATTTCATTGGGAAAACCTACTCTAGCCCTCCACAGCCTCTTCAAATGTTTTTGTTAGCCCAAATAGCAGTGAAATTTTAAAAAGGATATGCTTTGTGGCTAATGGATCATATAAGCCCCAGTCTCCACAACCCAGAAGGTAGAACTGGTTGTTCCCAAATCCTAGTAGGAACTGCTATGATATCGTGGATATTAAAATATCGTGGATAGAGTCGGGAGAAAAATGTGAAACAAAATTCAAAATCATAAAAACATCATGCTTGCTGGCCATTTAGAGCCTTGTAGAACACTCAGTTATGTCCCTAAGTCACACTTTAGGTAGAGAACAGAACTCAACACTTTACGCCCACCACCACGGCTCAATTTGCAGTCAACCAATGGACAGGTCTACAATAACACAATAAGGGAAACAATAACACACCTTAGAATAATCAAACATTTGAAATCAAAAGGGCAACATTTATTCAAGACAAAGCTCAGAAGGGTTAGGAGAGTGGGAGAAAAGAAAACAGGAAATAAAGGGTAAGTTATATTATGTTGTAAGAACTGTAACTGAGGACAAGAACCAAACATATCAATTGCTGATTGAAACATGATTTGCTCTGTAAACCTGCATCTCTATAAAATTCATAATAACAAGTGAAAAAAATAATATGGTTTGAATCCTTTGAGGATATCATAACTGGAGGCTTAATGTGGTATAAATTAAAGTGTACAGAATTCTTTCGGAAAGTTTAGAGAGGTGAAAACACTACTTCAAACATATGTAGACTTAGATGGAGGATATGTTGAGAGACAATAGCTTCATATTTTGACATTTTTGCGTAATAAGTGTTTCTATACTTTTGTAGCAATACTTTTTCATTTTCTCTCATATTTCTTGCTTCTGATTAAGTAAAACTTTTAATTCTTGTATATTCTACTTTCCTAAAGTTTTACTTAGTTTAATGCCTTGGAGTATAGGCAAATATCTTGTATTCTCTTCTTTCAGCCAAGATCCATCTGACATTGGCAAGGATATATCTTGTTCCACACCCTCTTCTGACTCTAGCCCTATCCTCCAGCAACTCCCTGTAAATGTACTGCTGCAACCACTTTTTGCATGATTGTTAGAAAGTTTTTTACATACATGTGATATGTGTCAGACAGCATTCTCTAGAGAAACAAAACCTTGACACTTATGATTTTTATATCTATATATCTATAGATATATAGATAGATAGCATGAAGGAATATAACAGCTAATTAGTCTACACAGCAGTACAGACGGCTTAGTTCAACTCAGTTCTGTGAAACAGTTAATATACTGGAAGTCCTTCAACTCATGAGGGCTGCTGGGTCCAAAGTCAAGGAAGCAGATAGCTGAGTTTCCCCTTTAGGAATGCAGGCAGTCCAGCCACAGGCAGCAAACAGCAGGGTAGGTTACCAACAGTCAGCCAGATGACAGGATCAAACAGTCCCCAGCGCAGCAGGTCTCGAAGGAACCTCAAGCTCTAGCAACACAGTCCATGGGTTGGGTGTCCCACAGGTAGTGTAGGTCACAAGTTGACGTAGAGCTCTAGCTAAGGCAGCCACACATTGGTCTGATCACCAGAGAGCAAGAGCGAGAGAGGCAGGGCTTGCCGAGCCATTTATCTCTTTGCCCTCCAATCAAACTGCAACTTTATGAATCCCACATATTCCAATTGTCCTGATTGGCACAATAAACCTATCTATCACATGATATTAATGATATTGTCCTATAATTTGAACATTCTGTTGGGTCACCTTTCTTTGGAATGAGTACAAATATGAATCTTTTCCAGTTAGTTGACCAAGTAGCTGTGTTCCTAATTTTCTGGCATAAACAAGTGAGTGCTTCCAGTGCTTCATCAGCTTGTTGCAATTAGTAGTCCATCAACTCCTGGAGCCTTGTTTTTGGCTAATGGTTTCAATGCAGCACTGTATTTCTTTCTTTGGTACCATTGGTTCCTGTTCATACACTATCTACTGAAGTGGTGGAATGTAGACTATTTCTTTTTTTGTACAGTTTTGCTGTTTATTCTATCTTCTTTGATGCCTCCTGCATTGCTCAATATTTTGTTCGTAGAATTTTTCAATATCGCAACCCAAGGCTTCAAGTTTTCTTTGAGTTGTCTTCCATTTATATTTTGGTGGATATTTATGTTTGGTTTAAGTTCTTGATGGATTTTTTTCATCATTTTTATCTATATAGAATCCCTTTTTTGACTTCTGTGAATCCTTTTATGTTGACTTTTTTAAGTGCTAAATATACAAATTTTGTTTCGGTCAGTATTTGTCCTACTTTTTCCCCCTAAATATCTAATACTTCAATTTTCTGAGTAGTACTACTTTATGTGTCTATTATACATTATATCCAGATATATTAATAAAAATTTATTATTTTTACCATCTAATATGTTTTCTCTTTCTTTTTGTCTTTGTCTAAGTTCTGTAGATCTCTTTTTTGTTTCCTTATTTCATTCCTAGGTGTTTTAGAAGTTATAGTTTTTCATTTATTTATTTATATTCGATATACTATGAATAGTATTTTATATAAGTTGCTCCATTGTCTTCCTGCCTGCAGTTTCTGTTGAGAAGTTTGAGTTTATCCTCATCAGTTTTCTTTTGTAGGAGACTATTCTTTCTTTCCTTAGCTTCCCTCAGGAACCTCTTCTTTTTTTTGAAATTGGACAGTTTAATGATGATACCTAGTTTATCTATTTGGGGTTCTCTCAACTTCTTGGAGTAATTTTCTCCATTTAGTGATATTGGGGAAATCTGCAGACTTTTTTGTTTCTTCTTTCTCTGAAATCTGGATGAGGCATAGGTTGTTTCTTTGGGTCGTGTCCCACATTCTCAGGATTCCTTCTGATTCTTTCACTTTTTTTGTTGATCAATTCTTTCCTTGGTTGCAGCCAGAGAAATTGTCTTTGAGTTCATTTGTTCAATTTTTATATTCTTCCATTTTATCCCTGAGATCTTTTACTATGTTTCCTAACATTTTTATCTCATTACTTATCCTCCTGGATTCCCTTTGGTGTACAGATTTTAGTTTTTCAATGTCTTCCATTGTTTTCATGAGTGTTCTCCACATCTCTTGAAAGGACCTGAACACCATAATTCTGAATTTTGTTTCTGGTAGTTCTTAGGCCTTTTTCCGAGTACTCCATTAGGTTTGGGTAATTTTTAGTTGTTTGTGTTTGTCTTTCTTGTTTATGGGGGAGGGGCTTAGTGTACTTGGCATCATGGTAGAGCTATTAGCGGTGTGAGAGCTGATGAGTCATTCAGGGACTCTTTCTAGTGATGTGAAAGAGCTAAACCATGTTAGGGAATATGGTAGTAAGGTGGAGAAATGAGTATGACAGAGATAGGTATGCAGGGACAGTAGGGAGAAGGTAGAGAAAAGAGAGGATAAGTAGTAGTCCTTTGATTAGGCCAACATTTGTCAAAATAATGGGAAAATATATATTAAGGGCATGATCAGAATTAATAGAATATTCCTGTTAGAATTAAGATTGTGCCCTTTCAAATCAAGACTGTTGTATTTTTGTCTTAAAGCATAATTCTGGGGGGTGGGTCTTCCTAGTAGGTCTTGGTCTGGAAACATCATTAAAATTTGTTTAACAAAACAAAACACAAGCATCAATTGGAAAATAGGTGGTGGCTGTGTATGAGGTTGGAACTCAAACAGGTCTCCTGCATGGAGGTTACAACTGTACCTCAGAACCACCATGGCTATTGTTCCTGGTTAGCTGCCAATCTGCTAAAAGCTGTGGCACGACCAAAGTCTATGTTGAAACAATGAAATAAATTTTTAGAATGATCATCCAACCTGCACTTCTACATTTCTAGATGTTTTAAATAAAGTTAGTTTTCTTTTTTACTTAGCACTGAAGTAAAAATTTACTACAACAAAGAGATTCTGTATCATTTAATGAAAGATAAATCAACAATATAAACACACAAATTTACAGAGAAAGGATCAACTTTAGTACATCTGGAGTAAAAGGGGTTTCTTATTTAAATGTGGTAAAAAAATAAATTCAAGAAACTTAACTGAGAATTTTCAGACAACAGATAATGACATGGGATTGTTTTCACTGAATACATTGATTAAATAAAACTTTCTGTGCTAATTTGTTGTTTAATAATGCAAAGCCATATACATACATTTTAATATGCTTTTTTTGCAATTCATCCAGTGTGTGACTGAATTTTTAGTAAACAGAGTGTCGAGCAGAAGCTTTGAGAAGAGGAAATTTAAAAAAAAATGATTTTACTTCACTTGAACTTGTTAAAAAGGAAAGACACAGATCTAGCTTAGCACAAGAAGAAAGTAAACAGACAACATTTTGAATGGAGGCATTGAAATGGTAGAGTTGCTTAGAGATGGCAATGCCTTAATGTATACACACACAAAAAGAACAAGTCAGTCTTTGCTCATGCAAAACCTTGGGCTTCTGCTCCAGTTAACAGCAAGCTATAAAACATGTGCAGTGAGTCCAGCTGGCATCCGTGGTTCAGTATGATCCAATTAGTAAGACTGAACGAGGCTTGTTAACCTTTTTGACGTGAGTGATTTCCCCTGAGGAAAGATAGAACACAAGAAAAAAATGAAAAAGAGAAAATAGAATAAGATAACTACAAATGTGTTCTAGTAATATGTGTTTATTTATTTACCGAGCTGAAATTTGTATATGGGTCAAAACTACACCCTTGAGGTACACCTTATTTCAAACATCATGAATAATGACCCTCCCTTCGTCCCTCCCTCCACCAACATATCAAACAGGATGGCCCACATCCCTCCTCCCATGATCTCTCCCCCCTCATCTCTTTCATCCTCCCTGCCACAGACTGATGATTTCACAGCACAGATTAACAAGTCATAAAACATGTCCATAAACACTTCACTAAGGCTTAGCAATGATGCAATACCTAAGTTTGCAACTGGTTATAAATCTGAGTTACAACAATTCCTGGTAAGTGGCTCTGAAAGATAGTAACATAAATGTATTTTTGTTCAATTTCTGAGATTAATGTTGCATTTACAAACATCTAGATTTATATAGGGTATAGTTTAATTAAATAGAGTACAGTTTGAGTGTGTGACTGGTAGAAGTTTGAGAATACCCTGTCTTATATCATGATGGAGAAAAAGGGGTCCAAGTACACATCTACACATGAAAATTTCTTTAGTCCCTATTTCATATTATAGAAATCCCCCCAATATTTTTCAATGATTTCTTTTAACATCAAGCCTAAAAAATCTCATTACTTATATTCCACATATTGTGTTAACACCTATAGTACATTATTGTTGATCTTGAAGATCTTGCTAGTCAACATTGTCCCTGTTAATTATAACTATTCTAGAAAGAGAAGATATTTTAAATTTCTGAATAGGATAGTGGAGTAATTGATTTTTGTTCAAACTTGCACTTTATATACTCTACTAAAAATAGATAGTCCACTTACTGAATCAAATTTTACTTCTAGATGATAAGATATATAGGAAGATCAAAAGCATTTTTGATAAGTGTATGGGTTTTATAATATCTCACACCATAGCAATGCCCATGGTGAGGCAGAGTTTGATAAAAGTGCAGTGCTGTATTGGGAGAGAAATCATCGTGTGCAGCCACAGTTTTTAGAAATGACAATATTTTAAAGAATATTTCCAAGAACAAGGGTTTTTTACAATTGATAAGGGCCCTTCTGCTGACAAGAAGAAGAGCTATGAACATTACATGGTTTTGTTTTAATTTGGGAAAAAGGTTTGCTACTTAGCTTTTACCAACTAATAATGAAAGAAGAAAAGTATATATATAATTTAAAGTATATTTATATAATGAAATAGGAAGAAAATTATTTAAGAAAGGTATTTCCCATTGGGCTTTTAGTAAAGTTGTGGCAGAAAATTTTACATAAGAAAAGACAGTTTGAGTAGATAGTAAAACAAAACAAAACAAAACCAATTCACTGCCATCAAGTCAATTCTGGCTCATAGCGGCCCTATAGGAAAGGGTAGAACTGCCCCTTTGGGTTTCTGAGACTAAGTCATTATGGGAGTAGAAAGTTTCATTTGTCTCTTATGGAGAGGCTGGTGGATTTGAACTTATGACCTTGTTCTAGACAGCCCAACACATAGGCCATTATGCCACTAAGGTTTCTAGACCAGATGATAGATGATTGTTAAAGGGAGTGAAGTGGAGGATGGCAGTCCACAAGAGGGAGAAGAGACAATGCATGGGGGAGGGATAAATTACTGGAGAGTTTGGTGGTTTTAACTGTTGAATGTAAAGTTGATGATCTGAAATATAAGGCCCCACCTAATTTACACTCCAAAAATAATAATAAATGACAATATCATCTATTATTTTGGAACTAAAGATATTTAAAAAGTAAATGCTTGATTTACCATTGGGGTTGTAGGGTGAGCAACTGAACATTTAGGAAGAAAAAAACAATGCATTCAGATAGAGCTCTACTTACCTTTCATTAATTTACAATTGTAAATTTGTTTTTAAGTGGATTTTATTAGAGGAATGCTTCTTTTCTTATCATCACATTCTGGGATGTTTGTTATTGTACCTAAATGCTCATAAAACAATATTCTATGTTCTACTAAGTGCAATTAAAAAATATTATTTTCATAAATAAAAAAATAAAAGGCAGTTTGCTAAATAAGATACCTTTCTTTGCAATTTATATTAGCCTTATAAATGATATATGCATTTATTGTCACCAATTCTTTGTTTCATTTTTCTCATCCATAAAATGGGAATAATAATAGCAGCTGCTAGGGCAGCAGTGATACTAGGAGAGTAAGGGAAGGTGGGGGGTGGTGGGGTGGGAAGAGGGAACCGATAACAATAATCGACATGTGGCCTCCTCCCAGGGGGAGGAGGAGAGCAGAAAAGTGGGTGAAAGAAGACAGCAGTCTGTGCAAGACATGGGGAAAATTTTTTCAATAAATTATCAAGGGGATGTGGGTGAGGGAGGAAAAATAAAAAATGAGGAACTGATACCAAGGGCTCAAGTAGAAAGAAAATGTTCTGAAATAGATGATGACAACATATATACAGATGTGTTTGATACAATGGATATATGTATGGATTGTGATAAGAGCTGTAAGGGCCCCTAATTGTTTTTAAAGCTTATTTGGAAGTATAATACATTCAAATTGCTTAAGATTATTCTTCAAATATTCTGTTTACTCAGTTGATGTTGGTTTTTATTACTAGCTACACACATCAGAATACACAGACACAAAGTCATTATTCTGCCTCTGAGTAGGGCAGATAATTAAATACACTAATGGAAATATTGTAATTACCCTGCTCTTTTATTTCAATTTCTGGCGAACAGTTTATTAAGTAATTTTTGAATATTAAAAACAAAACAAAAACCCATTTCTCCAAAGTTGAAGACTATTTCTTGGAGCCCTAGTAGCATAGTTGGTTATGTAGTGGTTACTAACAACAAGGTCTGCAATTTGAAACCACCAGCTTTCTGCTTCTGTAAAGATTTCCAGTCTTGGAAACCCAAAAGGGCAGTCCTACTGTATTACGGGTTTGAGGTGTCGAAATCAACTGGATGGCAGTGCATTGAGATGAGCTGCTATTTCTTAACAGAAAGGGACATCAAAAAGCTCATGAAAAAAAATCCACTATCCTTAACTCCATTTTCCCGGATACTTTTTGAAGTAATCCTCACGACTGTATTGTCTTGTGCCCTTAATATAAATGAATGCATGTGTGAATATATATTCATTCAAACTGAAAACTTTACCTTTAAAAAGTGCTTATTCTTTCTAATGCACTTTGTAAGATGGAAGGAAGTATATATAGATTGAGGCAATTCTTATATTGTGAATTCTTACGTAGCGGAGAAGAAGGGCAGAGATGGTAATATAAAATTGCTTCTATTATAGCTACAGATTAAAGTGAGTTGGCTCAAACTATTGGGATATAGTCTGAAATACCTATAATAAAATAGTAAGCCATTTCCAACTTACATTAAAAATGTTAAACTGAAGTGATGATTATAAATTTAATAAAGAATAATACAGTTTAATTTCTACATCCCTTTTGGACATTTTAAAATTACTAGTACTTGGTTTAGAATGAACTTCATTAGAAGGTGGTGAGGTACAAATGTATCTTGTTGAGCTCTTGTCCTAGGATATATGTATGAGAATATTATTGCTTACTGTTCCCCTTGATGGTAACTGAGCCATGATTATTATATTAAAGAATTGTTCTATGAGTCAATAGATTAAAAAAACAGTGAGCTCTCCCTGTTCCATGAACCAAGCAGCTGATATGTGAATTTCATTCTTTTCCAATAAAAACACTCAGCATGGTTTAGAGACTGTGTTTTATATTTCCAATACCATTTTATTAAGATCTCCTTATCATCTTTGCGGGTTGAAATTATAGGCGTAATTAGTGCATTTGGGATTGTTCAACGTCTGCTCTTATAGCCCTTAGATTCTGATCATTGAAAAACCATAGCCATCAAAAGGTAGTGCCCAGACGCGGGTTGAAGAGGCATGGGATTTTGCCCAATATGAGTTTACTGTGTGATACCTGCTAAATATATTTAAATATATATATAATATATATTTATATATAAAAATATATAAAAAGACACAGCAGGATGCTTGTAAATATACACATACATTTATTCATGTTTATGGATAAAGTTGTTTAGTGTCTAGCATTTTCAAATTTCCTACTTTAATGTGGTGGCACTTTTGGGTAAGTGTTGGACTACTAACTATAACTACTAATTATAACTTCAGGACTCAAACCAACAGCCACTGTGAGGGAGAAAGATGAAACTGATCCTGTAAAGATTTATAACCTCAGACACCCTTTACAGGGTTGCTATGAGTCAGAATCAACTTGATGGCTTTGGGTTTGGTTTAGGGCTATTTTAATATTGGCGTGCCTGTGTGGGACAAACACTTAAACCATTTGGTTGCTACTGAAAGGCCGAAGCTTTGAGCCCATAAAAAGGCACCTTGGAAGAAAGGCCTGGCAATGTTTTCAAAACACTATTTTATAAATGTTGCTGTCCTTTTCTCAACAGTATTTTTAATTCTATACTATTGGCTAAATTAGTTATAGAATTAATGAAATTACCATAGTCTCATGAGGATTACTTATAATATTCCCCCATAAAATGATAATGATGGCTCTAAAGCAGCCCGGGGCCATATATAAATTTTAGATATATAAATGGATTTTGAGTTTACACTTAATCATAAGTCCAAATCTAATAATAATTAGCTTTTATGACATAGCTCAACTTGATCTTTGTTTTCTTGAAGAGATCACAGAAGATATGATTGCTACAACAAAGAATGGTGAAGAAATCAGATGATGATCAGGTATCAGAAATAATAATATCTGTAATCTTAAATTCTTCTCTTAAAACAAGCAGCCATCTAAGTAAGGTGTCAGCTAAGTCCACATTGAAGAAGCAATGTGTATGATGCATCAGACTGCATCATACCAGTCTGTATGATGCAAAAATGGTAAATAATGAAATACATGATCAGAGGAGGGAATTGTA